GAGCAGAAAGGCCGTGCTGGTGTCTGTGACCGTGTCCTGCTTGCCTTGCAGCACTACCCCGACGAGCGGCACGGGGGCCCCGAGCGGCACTCGCGGGACAGCTGGGGGGGCTACGGCTCCGACAGGAGGATGAGTGAGGGAAGAGGGATCCCCCCACAGACCCGGTTAGTGCCTCCCACAGCAGGGAAGTGATTTGGGGCTCTTCACATCTCCTCAGTGAGCCTTTGGAGGGTGACAGCAGAAGGAGCTTGACAAGTGTGAATCCTCTCTCCAGATCTTGGAGCATCTGCAGGAGCAGGGAATTGCCACGTGAAGCTCTGTAGTGAGTAAAGAGCTGCTCAGTTAGCTCAGCTCCTGCCTCTGCTGCTCCTGTAAATAACTTCCATTTCTACAGATGAGATTCACTCTGTTTCTACAGTAAGGGCTACACAAGTCTCATTCATGGCCAGTGGTCAGGTTTTAGAGGAAATTGAGTGAGAAGTCTTTGCAGTGGTGGGGGTAGAGAACTTGGACTCACCTGAATTGTAGTGGTTTCTCTTTAAACCAGTGATTCAAGCTGGGCTTATTCCAGCTGCATGACTTTCAGACAGAGGAGTGGCAGCCAATGAATTCATCCATGCCCAAGTATTCCAGTCCATTGCAATATCCACGATGTCTCTGGATGAAAAAAGCCCAGTTTTGTTGTGTGAAGGATGCTGTTCAGCAAGTGTCTGTCATTGTTTCTCTTGGAGTGGTTGGGTGGCTACAGCTCTAGCTTGATTAACCATTTAACACCCTTTGGCATGGGGTATGGTGTTTGGCTTTACCCTGTGCTGCTCAGTGGGTAGGGGACATACCTAGAAGATGTTCTTTTATTTTTTTAAGAGATGGACGTGACTGGGGAGATCATGGTCGAAAGTTAGAGGGGCATCAAGATCGTACATGGCAGGGAAATGTGGATGGAGGAGTGATGGGACGGGATCATGAGAGATGGCAAGGTACACTTGCTGCTTACCAGTGTGATTGTGGTTCTTTTCTGTGAATTACTGCTGCTGAACCTTCTAGTGGTAGTTAAATTACAGAGAAATCAAATGAAATTCTGGGAACAAGGTGACATTTGTATTAGGAAAACACAAAAACTTGTCTTTTTCTTTTTTTCTTTTTTTTTTTTCTCCCTTTTTTTTCTCTCTTTTTGAATTAGGTGGTGATAGAAGCATGCCTGGTCAGTCAGGACCAGGCCATGGGATGACTCGAGGAGGGACATCAGGGTAAGAACTTCTGTCAGAATGTTTATAATGCTTTTGTAGTACTTTGATCTGTATAAGCAAGGGGGAAAAAACCCCAACAAATTAAAGAAACACCTTTCAGAGTGTAGGAATGTGCCCCCTGTTGATAGAGTGACTAAATGATTCTTTGTCTGCTTAAAAAGGCAAAAAGCCCAGAAGTTTCTGTCCATGATTGTACATCAATCACTTTATTGTACTAATACTAAATTTTACTCTTCAGAAAAACCCATCACCCTTGCCACACAGTCCAACACAGCTTTGATGTAATTGGTCAATCCCTCCAAACACCATCCAGAGTCCAATTAAGAAATCACCCTTTGCTAAAAAAATCTCCATAACACATCCCACATGTGCACAACATATGTGCAGCAAGTGATAAAAATTGTTTTTTATTTTTCTCTGAGCTTACTCAGGAACACCCTCCAAACACCATCCCCAGAGTCCAGTTAAGAAATCACCCTTTGCTAAACAAATCTCCTTAACTGGAAGGTAAGAAACAATTCTTACCTTCACTTGCTGCACCTGTTGTGTGCACATGTGGAATGGGTTATGGAGATTTATTTAGCAAAGGGTGATTTCTTAACACATTCCATATGTGCACAACAACAGATGCAGCAAGATGAGAATATTCTCATTTTCCCTGAGCTTTCTCACAGCTTCCCAGGAACACCCTCCAAACACCATCCCCAGAGTCCAGTTCAGATTTGTTCAGCAAAGGGTGATTTCTTAACACCCTTTTCTTAATCACCCTCCGATTTCTTCATCACCTTTGCTGAACAAATCTCCATAACCCATTCCACACGTGCACCAAGAGAAGAATNTTTTACCAAGCAGAAAGATAGCACAGGCAAACAAGTCAGCAAAGTTGCAAGCAGAAAAAAAGTCTCAGACTTATCCACTGCAAGAAAACTGAAAACCAACTTCTAGCTTAAACTGTAATGTACTGACTTTTAGTGATTGGAGAACAGCAACATGAATATGGTAATTGCAGTAGTTATGATAAGCTATAAATAAAAGCTAAGGTATAGTTTGGTTCTACTGTGTCAAGATGCTCATGGAAGAAAAGTATATAATGCATTGTAACCAAAAGAAAAGTGTAGAATACATTGTAACCAAAATTGAGGGGTCTCCAGGCCTGCCTGCAGCTGGAGCTGACAGGTGTGTGGGCACAGCTCTGTCACCCATGACCCTGTAATGTCTTAGATGTAATAAACTGCATTTTGAAAAGCTGCCTGGAGTCCCACATCACTGATTTTGGCTCTTATGGTGGCGCCCAACGTGGGGCACCATCAGGAAGAGGAATTGGTAAGAGCCTGAATGAGGGATGCAGGTCTGCAGGCCTGGCTGCAGCTGGAGCTGACAGCTGTAGGCACAGGCTCTGTCACCCACCACCCTGTAATGTCTTATAGGTAATAAACTGCATTTTGAAGAGCCCCTGGAGTCCCACATCTCTGATTTAAGCTCTTACAGTGGCGCCCAACGTGCAGTGCCATCAAAAAGAGCCTGAATGAGGGATGCAGGTCTCCAGGCCTGTGTGCAGCTGGAGCTGACAGCTGTGGGCACAGGCTCTGTCACCCATGACCCTGTAACGTCTCAGATACAATAAACTGGATTTTGAAAAGCTGCCTGGAGTCCCACATCCCTCATTCAGACTCTCACAGTGGTGCCCAATGTGAGGCACCATTAGAAAGAGCCTGAAAGGAATGCAGGTCTCCAGGCAGGTGGAGCTGACAGATGTGGGCACAGCTCTGTCACCCACAATCCTGGATTGCTATAACATCTTGGATACAATAAACTACATTTTGAAGAGCCCCTGGAGTCCCACATGTCTCATTTAGGCTGTTACAGTGGCGCCCAATGTGGGGCACCATCAATAAGAGCCTTAATGAGGGATGTGGGTCTCCAGGCCTGCCTGCAGCTGGAGCTGACAGATGTGGGCACAGCTCTGTCACCCACCACCCTGGACTGCTGTAATGTCTCAGATACAATAAACTGCATTTTGAAGAGCCACCTGGAGTCCCACATCTCTCATTCAGGCTGTTACAGTGGCGCCCAATGTGGGGCATCATCAATAAGAGCCTGAATGAGGGATGTGGGACTCCAGGCCTGCCTGCAGCTTGGGATGACAGCTGTGGGCACAGGCTCTGTCACCCATGACCCTGTAATGTCTCAGATACAATAAACTGCATTTTGAAGAGCCCCTGGAGTCCCACATCTCTGATTTAAGCTCTTAGAGTGGCGCCCAACGTGGGGCACCATTAGTAAGGCCCTGAATGAGGGATGTGGGACTCCAGGCATGGCTGCAGCTGGAGCTGACAGCTGTGGGCACAGGCTCTGTCACCCACCACCCTGGACTGCTGTAATGCCTTGGATACAATTGACTGCATTTTGAAAAGCTGCCTGGAGTCCCACATCCCTCATTTAGGCTCTTACGGTGGTGCCCAACGTGAGGCACCATTAGAAAGAGCCTGAAAGGAATGCAGGTCTCCAGGCAGGTGGAGCTGACAGCTGTAGGCACAGCTCTGTCACCCACCACCCTGGACTGCTGTAATGCCTTGGATGCATTTTGAAGAGCCACCTGGAGTCCCACAAGCCTCATTGAGGCTCTCACANTTTTACCAAGCAGAAAGATAGCACAGGCAAACAAGTCAGCAAAGTTGCAAGCAGAAAAAAAGTCTCAGACTTATCCACTGCAAGAAAACTGAAAAACAACTTCTAGCTTAAACTGTAATGTACTGACTTTTAGTGATTGGAGAACAGTAACATGAATATGGTAATTACAGTAGTTATGATAAGCTATAAATAAAAGCTAAGGTATAGTTTGGTTCTACTGTGTCAAGATGCTCAGCGAAGAAAAGTATATAATGCATTGTACCCAAAAGAAAAGTCTATAATACATTGTAACCAAAATTGAGGGGTCTCCAGGCCTGCCTGCTGCTGGAGCTGACAGCTGTGGGCACAGGCTCTGTCACCCATGACCCTGTAACGTCTTAGATACAATAAACTGCATTTTGAAAAGCTGCCTGGAGTCCCACATCCCTCATTTAGGCTCTTATGGTGGCGCCCTACGTGAGGCACCATTAGCAAGAGAGATTAGCAAGAGCCTGAATGAGGGATGCAGGTCTGCAGGCCTGGCTGCAGCTGGAGCTGACAGATGTGGGCACAGCTCTGTCACCCACAATCCTGGATTGCTATAACATCTTGGATACAATAAACTGGATTTTGAAGAGCCCCTGGAGTCCCACATGTCTCATTCAGGCTGTTACAGTGGCGCCCAATGTGCGGTGCCATCAAAAAGAGCCTTAAATGAGGGATGTGGGTCTCCAGGCCTGCCTGCAGCAGGAGCTGACAGCTGTGGGCACAGGCTCTGTCACCCATGACCCTGTAATGTCTCAGATACAATAAACTGCATTTTGAAGAGCCCCTGGAGTCCCACATCACTGATTTAAGCTCTTACAGTGGCACCCAACGTGGGGCACCATCAATAAGAGCCTGAATGAGGGATGTGGGACTCCAGGCCTGCCTGCAGCTGGAGCTGACAGCTGTGGGCACAGGCTCTGTCACCCATGACCCTGTAACATCTTAGATACAATAAACTGCATTTTGAAGAGCCACCTGGAGTCCCACATCACTGAGTTTGGCTCTCACGGTGGTGCCCAATGTGAGGCACCATTAGAAAGAGCCTGAAAGGAACGCAGGTCTCCAGGCCTGCCTGCAGCTGGAGCTGACAGATGTGGGCACAGCTCTGTCACCCATGACCCTGTAATGTCTCAGATTCAATAAACTGCATTTTGAGGAGCTGTCTGGAGTCCCACATCTCTGATTTTGGCTCTTACCGTGGTGCCCAATGTGAGGCACCATTAGAAAGAGCCTGAAAGGAACGCAGGTCTCCAGGCAGCTGGAGCTGACAGCTGTGGGCACAGCTCTGTCACCCACCGCCCTGGACTGCTGTAATGTCTTGGATGCATTTTGAAGAGCCACCTGGAGTCCCACAAGCCTCATTGAGGCTCTCACATGAGCAGAAAGGCCGTGCTGGTGTCTGTGACCGTGTCNAATAATAGAGTAATGGAGTTGTAATAATAGAGGAGGAGGAGTAGTAGTAGAGTAGCAATAATAGAGTTAATAGAGTAGTCGAGCTGTAATAATAGAGGAGGAGTAGTAAAGTCATAATAGTAGGGTTAATAGAGTAGTAGAGTTGTGCTAATGGAGTAGTAGTAGAGTAGTAATAATAGAGTTAGAGTAGTCGAGCTGTAATAATAGAGTAGTAGTAGTAAAGCCATAATAATAGGGTTAATAGAGTAGTAGAGTTGTAATAATAGAGTAGCAGTAGTAAAGCCATAATAATAGGGTTAATAGAGTAGTAGAGTTGTGCTAATGGAGTAGTAGTAGTAGAGTAGTACAATTAGAGTTAATAGAGTAGTACTAATAGAGTTAATAGAATAGTGGAGTTGTTTGTATCAACTCTAAATGGTAAGGGAAAAGATACTCATTCTCTTCTCACATCACCACATACTGAAATTAAGCTGTTTTTTGCAAACCAAATTTTCTCTGAAACCGAAACGCGACTCCTGCTTAAACACACATAGATTTTTAATTCCTGGGTTGGATGAGGTTTGAGAGAGCAGGAAAGGGGAGGTGTTTCTGGGGCTGCTGCTGATGTGAGCCCTGTGTGTGCAGGAGGGATGACCCCTACTGGCCCGAGGCCAAGCGCCTGGCGCTCGATGACCGCTACCACTCGGACTTCGGCCGCCAGGATCGCTTCCACGACTTCGACCACCGCGACCGCGGCCGCTACCAGGAGCACTGCTTGGACAGGTGGGCAAGGCACTGCCTCTGCTGCTTCTTCTGCTTCTGCTTCTTCTTCTTCTGCTTCTCCTTCTTCTGCTTCTGCTTCTTCTGCTTCTGCTTCTTCTGCTTCTGCTTCTTCTGCTTCTTCTGCTTCTGCTTCTTCTGCTTCTGCTTCTTCTGCTTCTTCTGCTTCTTCTGCTTCTTCTGCTTCTTCTGCTTCTTCTGCTTCTTCTGCTTCTTCTGCT